ACGACAACGACACAGGTCCCGACCTCCTGTACCGGATCCCCCAGCCGTACCGCACCAGTTTCTCCGCCCGCTACTCCGTCACCTGGGGCCGCGCAGACCGCAGCCGCTCCCTTAGCCCCACAGCCAGCCTGCTCAGTGACGTCAGCGTGGGCAGCGCCCCGCCCATCATGCTCTCCCACTACGCCCCGCCCTCCAGCAGCACGCTGCTAGGCCACGCCTACAACTCGGGCGGCACGCTAGCGCTAGGCCACGCCTACAACTCGGGCGGCACGCTTCCAGCGGACAAGCGGCGGCCGCGGGGCCGCTCAAAGAGCCCGAAGAAAGTCCGGTACAACACGAGAGTAAGAGTGCGGCACTCGGACACGGAGGACTCCATGTTCACACAGCTCTCGCCCGAGGGCGGGCCCGATGATGACGTGTCCGCGGCGCACCCGCTCAGCCGCTCCGTTCTATCCCCGCGCTACAACGAGTTCAGTCAGCTGTCGCCCATCTCCCTACCCTCGCCCCAGCACCAGACTTCCACGCTGCGCTCCACGCCTAGGTACATAATATCATCATCATCATCATCATCATCATCATCATCATCATCATCATCATCATCATAATAATAATCATTCTCAGCTTCCTTGGAAGCATACAGGGCAAGCAGCTGGTTAAGCGCTCAAACACTAACAAACTGACAAGATTTTTCACTGTCTCTAGCTGGGAACCCATATTTTCCTGGGTGAAATGGGGAAATTTCGTGTAAAGTGCCTTTCCCAAGGACACAACGTCGGGCCTGCGGCTCGAACCCCCGAACCAGCCGACGTTGTGTCCTTGGGAAAGGCACTTTACACGAACTTCGCACTTGGCTCGGTCCTATCGGAGACGGACGTTAAATTAGGAGGTCCCGCCTCTTAAATAACCTAATAGTGTTGATAGGGGCGTTAAACTCATACCTCAAAAAAAAAAATACCGAACCAGCAACCTCACGATTACGAGTCCGGTATCCTAACAACATAACATATCTATCACAGACGCCACACACACAGCCCAGGACCGAAACTTGCACCTCCCCTCGACATCCTAAGGATACCAGAGGCAGGAAAAAGTAAAGTAAAGTAAAAGAGAGTCATCGTCATCATTGCCTTTCTCATCCTGCACCACAGTGTAGGCCACGGACAAACACCTTCCACCTTACTCTATCCTGGGCTAGCCTCTTGGTGTTATTCCATGTCATCCCACTTTTCTGTACAGCGATTTCTGTGATTATTCTCCAGGTTCCACGCGGTCTTCCCCTTGTTAAGTTACCCCCCCAAAAAAATAATTCCATCTTTTTAGACAACAAACATCTCTTGTTCCCTCAAATAAAAACATCAGTGAGAAGTGATAGACAAAGGCTTCTGATCTGTAACAAAGAAAGATATAGAAGACGGTCATTTTACCATCATCTATCAAACTGCTTCCATCTTAACCATCTTGTAAAAGTATACTTACGACCTTAGAGCATGCATCAAAATAACATTGAGTGTGTATCTAGCTTACGATTATTATTGTTTATATTGCTGCTCATTTATACATGTATTATGCATGAGATTGTAAGCCTACGTGTGTGTGCGTGTGTGCGCGCGCGTATGTGTGTGTGTGTGTGTGTGTGTGTGTG